TCTCTCTCTCTCTCTCTCTCTCTCTCTCTCTCTCTCTCTCTCTCTCTCTCTCTCTGCTTGGGGATCAGGATGCAGCTCTAGCTACTTCTCCAATACCTGCTGCCATGCTGTCTGCAATGATAATAGATTAAACCTCTGAAACTACAAGCAAGCCCCCCAGTTAAATGCTTTCTTTTATAAGAGTTGCCTTGATTATGGTGTCTCTTTACAAAAATAGAGCAGTGACTAAGACAATGACCAAAAGCAACTTTGGGCAGAGATGGTTTACTTCATCTTTTAGCTTGTAGTTAGTCCATTATCCCAGCAAGTCAGAGCAGGAACCTGGAGACAGGAACTGATACAGAGTTCATTGAGGAGTGCTGCTTATGGGCTTGCTCTTCGTGGCTTGCTCAGCCTGCTTTCTTATACCATTCTGGACCACCCTGCTAGGACTCAGGCCACTTCATGGCCCTCCCACATCAACCATCAATGAGCCATGGGCCACTCCAGTGGGGGGAATGTTCTCAGTTGAGGTTCCCTCTTCCAAAATAATACTAGCCTGTATTAAGTTGACATAAAAAATAGCACAATTACTCCTTGTCAACTTGAAATACTGTTAACATTACTGTTAAATCATAACCTTTCCATTCTTGTTCATCCCCTATGATCTCACATTAATACTGATATCAAATATAAAACATTTCAACTTTTGAAAGCCTAGAAATGGAAAGTGTTTAAATTTCCAGTGCTTTTAAAGTTCAGGCCTTTTGCTAAGTATCAAAATAAAATACAAGTTGAATACTTTCTTATTCCAAGAGGGAAGAACATTCAAATTCTAGTAAAAGTCCATCAGTGTACAGCTCATTGGTCAGCTTTCTGTGACTGGTGAGCTTCTCGGCTCCCAAGGGCTTGCACAGCACACACTATCTTATAGGCTCAGGCTGCCTCCACTCCATGGCTGCTGCTGTCCTTGCTGTTCATCCATGTTATAGGCATCTCCAAAGTTCTAGGGTCTCTGCAACTGGGCCGTAACCTTCACCTAGAGCTTCTCCTGGGCTCTCTTGAGGGACTCCGCCCTGCCACACTGTGCCAACTTTTCTCCATGACACTTTCAATCCTGAGACTTCTACTGCAACTGAGGCTGCAGTTTCAATGATGGCCTCTCCTTGTCTCTCTTCAGGGACCCCAGCCCTACCACACAGTGCCAAACCTCAGCTGCTCTCCTTGACTCCTTCACGACTTCAAAGCACCACCTGGGTGATTCTACAGGT